TGTGGAATATGTGTGGCAATCAAGCAAGCCATGTGAGTAAAATCTTCCTGGAATAGAGTGCAGTGGCTGAGTTTCCAGTATGGGGAGGCCTTGCAAATTGACTACATTGGACCACTACCACAAACAAGTCAAGGCAAGACCTACGTACTCACCATGGTGGAGGCAACAACTGGCTGGCTGGAAACATATCCTCTAAACCAGGCCACTGCTCAAAACACTATCTTAGGCCTTGAAAGGCACATTTTGTGGTGACATGAGAGAAATGAATCAGATAATGGGACTCACTTTTGGAATAATCTCATAAGTTCTTGGGCAAAGAAACATGGCATTGAGTGGATCTATCATATCCCTTATCACCCACAAGCCTCTGGGAAGACTGAGAGGTATAATGGACTGTTGAAGACTATGTTAGGAGTGTTAGGCAATGGGGCACAGAAGCATTGGGATGCAAATTTAGCTGATCTCCCAACTGCCCTGGTTGTGCCCAAACCAAACCCCTACACACTGTGGGAGGAAATAAGGTCCCTGTACTATAAATGGGGAAGTGGCTGGGGAGGTTGGTACGGGTTTCTTCTCCCATGGGAAAAGGCAAACCCATCTGTGGGATTGTCTCTGCTCAGGGACCAGGGTGTACTTGGTGGATAATGCAGAGGGATTGGGTGACTGGGTGTGTGCCTCAAGGAGACTTAACCTTGGGGGGAAAATAATCTGTGAAGTAATTTGTATGTTGCAGGACATAAAGTAACAGGAATGATATAAACTGACTCAGAGTGAATTTTCTGAGGAGCAAGGAGTAGGTAACAATGACCCAAACCAGGCTGGAGTTGGTGCTCACTAATCGATTGTGCTGCGTTTCCTGTCCTGAACACCCATCCGGAGGAATGGAGCTCAAATCATGGATCTGGAGAGGTGGAGGAAGCCCACAAAATGTGAAAATAATATCCATATGTAATAGGATGGGGGATAGTAGTTAATGAAAATGTACAAATCTGTATTTTGGGTATAAAGATGGTTTAAGGATACAGTTTAAGTTGTAGTTGGTAAGAAGGGATTTCTGTACTGAGAAATAAACACAATGGAAAAGTTAGAAGATATATAACTTATGTGAGGACTGAGTATGATGCAAATGATACGGTGTGAGATTCTGGATCTGAATCTCACTGAATTATTGATATGGATCAGAACCAACTCACTGTGAGTGTGCGTGTGCATGTGGGGAAGGGCTGGGCCTGGACTTGCCAGTCCATGGCAAGGCCTGCACATCAGACCTGTGCTGAGGGCATAGGGCAGAGTCAGAAGGCAAGTCCTGCAGCCCACGCAGAGCACACGGTAGAGCTGCAGGCCCTGCAGCCAGACTGTCAGTCAAGGCAGAGCTGCCTGGTAGCCCAACCACACCACACCCTTGCAGCTTGTGACTGGCTACAGCACAACTCACTCTGGCCTGGAAGGCACTGACTGCATATTCTGCCTGGGAGGAAAACTGAACTCTATAAATACATGAGACTCCATGCAGTCTCCCTCTTCTTCTCCTCTCTCTCTCTTCTCCCTCTCCAGCCAGCACCATGCGAATCATTGAATCCTGTTGGTAACCATTTTTTCCTTTCCTTTCTCTCCTTCTCTCTTTCTTTACCTTTTAATCAGGTTTCTTTTACTCTTTTCCTTCTCTTGTGGGTAACTTAAAACCAATGAACTGTGTTTTACTAAAGCTATTATATGGATTGTTTTAGTGGGTGTTTCCTGTGGAATGGGTCTTTGTGCTGAATGTTTTAGTGAAATGCTTTTTTCTTGGTTGTATTTTAACGCCTTTAAAAACCTTTTGCCAAAATATCTTATTTTTCTCAGTAAATTAAAAATAATTTCTCTTAGAGAAGAGTGTGTGACTTTTTCTGTGGATGCTAATTAGAAGTTATAATGAACCAAAAGGCTTTTGAAAAGTCTTAAATAAAAAATGTAACCACTCTGGGCAGTTTATAGCTTAATCTGGAATGCAACATATGGGATAAAGGGTGGAGACTGCATTGAGACTGGCTGAAATGGAGTTAATTTTTCCACAGGAGCCCTCACAGTGCTGTGCTTTGCACTGGTACCTAGAAAGCTGTTGATAACACACCAGCGTTTTGGCTCCTGCTGAGCAGCACTGGCACAGCATCAGTGCTATCTCTCCAGCATTCCCCCCCATCAAGGACTGGGGGTGGGCAAGATCCTGGGATGGGACACAACAAGACCAGCTGACCCAATTTAACCAAAGAAATATTCCATACCATATGACATTGGCTCAGATATAAAAGCTAAGGAAAGAAGGAGGAAGGGGAGGCATTTATTATTTACAGTGTTTGCCCTCCAGAGCAACTGCTACATGTGTTGAAGCCCTGCTTCCCAGAAACTGGCTGAACATTGCTTGGTGATGGGAAGTAGAGAATAAACCTATTTTTTTTTCTCTTTGCTTGTGTGGACACAAACTTTCACTTTAGCTTTATCATACTGCCTTATCTCAACTTCAGAGTTGTTTTCCATCTTATTTTTTCTCTCCCCTGTCCAGCTGGGAAAGGGAGTGATAGAGCGGCTTGGTAGGCACCTGATGTCCAGGCAAGGTCAACCCACCACAGAGTAAAAACAGATGACAAGTTTTTAAGCCTTGAAAAGCTAATCAGTTATCACTCACACTGAGCAGCCATCCAAATGCCATGTGGGCAGTAAAAACCAGTGGCAAGACAGTCCCTTTCACAAAATGGATGGAATATCTCTACTCTGTCTAAAGGCGGAAGTACAAGGTAGGTAGTCAGATCCAACTTCATTTGTTGAGCAAATTCAGCTATATGAAAAATAGCAGTGTCTGCTCCTTTTGTTTTATAACACAGAGTAAAACTTATTTGAATAGAAAAAAAGCTAATTTTTTTACATACTTATAACTTCCAGTATGTGTATGTATATCTACAGATACATACAGACATATACTTCAATGTATGTATGTGTATTTATGTATAGATACTGGTTACTATAATTTCCTTTTTTTCTTTTAATAATTTTAAAATTTAACTGGGCCTTGACGAACTCTAGACTAACTTCAGAGTTGTTAATCTAAGATTACACACTGAAAAAAATTATATTAGTTCAGCACTGAAATAACATGTAGGAAGAATTTACCCAGACTTTCAAAGAACTAGTAAGAGTCCCTTTTATGTAACAAATAAATGACTGATTTTTGATTTTATTTTTCAGCCCAGTTCTCTCTTTTAGATTCCATTTATTATTTTCTATATAATAGATTCCCCCAGGCTTTGACTGGGTAAGAAACCTTGGACAAGTGGGGGATGCACAAAAGGGCATCCATATCCTCAGATGTGACATACTGATGCATTCTGCATTATCACACATGGCAGGAGCTCAGGAAATACTCACTACAAAAAGCTACAGAAAGAACAATGTGTGGTGTTAGATAAATGTCTCACACTGAATATGTAGCTGAACATTAGGTCACCCAGCTTTACAAACCAATCACCAGGCATTGCAGACTTTTGTGATAATTAAACAAAATATTCTAGTCATATGCAAAAACAATGCTTTCCATCTTGTAACACAGGTGGCAGCGAACAACAAACTCTGATATTTGGGATGCCTTTTCTGTGTTGAGTTCAGCCCACCCATTCTGATTTTTTATTATGAAACTCTTAAGATTCCCCTCAGACAAAACCACTTTTTATTCTTCACAACCCTATGAACCCTGGGAAAATCAGAAACCTGGATAACTCCCCCTTTTCCCAATTTATGTTTTCTTACCTTTGCTATAGAGAAGAAACCCATTTTACAACAATTCTTTCTGGCATAACAGGAACTGATTCCATTCACCAAGGCCCTCTCAAGGAGCAATGGTATGTATCCCTCTTCTGCCTTGAAAATGTTATGCGAACATTAAGCACTGGCTTTCAGCTGAGGAAAAAAATACTTTGCTCCAGAAATAAGACTGCTGCCACTAGGCCTGCCTTCTCATTCCTGGCTCTTCTTAACTTACAAAGAGGCCAATTTACTGAAGGGGTACTAAGCTTGCAGCTCTACATACAGACTATCATACATAACAATGGTACCACAGGGCTAATTGTGCCTCAGGAAAAAATAATTAAAATCTCCAAATTAGTGGAAATCATCATCATCATTATCATCATAATATCTACTGGACTTCATTCCTGTGTTAATCTCTATTTCTACAGGTGGATCAGTGCAATCCTGGACATACAGAGAAATAGGAGGACAGCTCTGGAACTTGGGGTTGTGCTAGATGATAAATTCAATGAGTCAACACTGTGCTCTGGTGGCCAAAATGGCCAACTGTATCCTGGGGTGCATTAAGCACAGTGCATCCAACTGGTTTGAAAGAGGTGATTGTCCCACTACACTCGGCACTGGCGCAGACTCACCTCAAGTACTGTGTGCAGTTTTGGGCTCTACAGTGTAAGGAGGATACCTGTCCAAAGGAGGCAACAAAGATGGTAAAAGGACTACAGGGCATGAATTGTGAGGAGCAGATGAAGATATTAGATTTGCTCAGCTTAGAGAAGACTAGGTGGGGGGACTCATTACTGTCTACAACTTCCTTATGAGAGCGGTAGAAAGGGTGGTGCTGATCTCTGGTGCCTGGTGATAGAGTGCAAGGGAACAGCTTAAAGCTGCACTGGGGAAGTTCAGATTGGTATTAGGAAAAAGTTCTGTAGTGAGAGGGTGGTCAAACACTGGAACAAGTTTCCCCGGGAAGTGCTCATGGCCCCTGGCCTGTTGGTGTTCAAGAAGTATAGGGACATTCCGTTCTATGATCTCAGATGCCAAAAGCTCAACTAAAATACAGGCTTCAACAGTGGTCTGACATCCATAGTTTTCCCTCATTGAATAGCATGGAAAACAAATGGAGTAAGCAACATACAGAGCCATGTTCTGTTCTGTGTTTTGCCAAGGTAAATCTAGAGCAGATGTAAACACAGAAAATTAAATAGTCAATAATTTTTACTCACTCGACAGTCCCGCTGTAGTGTTTTCATTAGTGCACTGTGCATTTCAGAGTCAAAATACAACCCTTCATGTATATCTTGCAAGAAATCCAAGTCTTTGAATGTAGGGTTGGACTTCTCCCTCTCTTTTCTTGATGCTCTCCGTTTGTATGTGGAGCCTTTCAAGTCGTATGTGAGATGCATTTTCAAGGCTCGTGGCAAAACATTGTTCATGACAACAATTCTAATATTAATGCCTCCTGACTGAACGCAGTACAGCCCATAAAATTTAGGTAGAAGAGTCCTTGGATTCTGGTTCAGATTCTAAAACAAAAGAGATATTGTTAGATAGGTCTATTTTCAGTAAACTTCCATGCTTAAGAAAGGGTTTTTTTCATAGCAAAGGACATTAACAAACTTCAAGAAAACTGTGTATGACTTTTTATTCAGCACAGTTTCTTAGACTAGTTGATCTGCTTTGTGGGTCTCTATTTCAGAAAGCTAGCATAAACACTGCCATTTTCCCAGGAACTTATATATGCCAAGAGCAGAGCAGTAACTAGATTGATGCCAGGTTTCTCTTTCTCACATACTATCAAAGTGTAGACTAGGCCAAACCTAAAAGCATCCCAAAGACTTAATTTATTTAATCTGATCTGAACAACCTTTGCATTCTACCTGCTGGAAGAAGTTTGGGTCAAATGTAGTTCTCATTATTTGAAAAACAGAAACCTTGTCTCCATGAGGCTTTACACACTGAGGGTTAGTGCAAAATGACCGAGTTGTTTCCGCAGGAGTGTGAGGGTTATTGATCGTGTATATTTTATTTTGTTTTTGTTCCCTTTTCCTTCCCCCTTCCGTTTCCCTTTTCCTTGGAGTTGTGCATGGTATTTCAACTGTAAATAGTTGTATATAACATAAATACATTTATTTTCATATAAGTTTGGCTAGTTTGGTTTTTTCGTGGTTTTTTTTTTTTTCCTTAGCACTGTGCTGCAGGTATTTTGGTGTTGGGTCTGGGACTTGGCAGGGAGCCAAGTAAAACTTAGACAAATGGAAATCAGAAGTAGTTTGGAACAAAAGTGAAACTGACCGGTCTAGTTTCTTTGTCCACTCTGAGTGAAATGCAGAGGGTAGACAAATACAAAACGGAGAAAAAAATTGAATTAGAAATCTAGAAACCTTTATTTGTTACTAGCTTATTAGAAGTAAAGTTTGGTATCAAATCAGATGATGACATTCATCTTCATCTTGAATGCTAAAAGAACAGCAATTCTTATCTTAAATATATTATTGATTTACATCTATTCTTTCTGTTGGGTGTTTGGGGCACAAAGTTGAAAGGCACATAAAAATATAAAAAAATGTTACAAAAAATACAGATAAAACCAGTGAAAGTTTACAAGACAAATGAAACTGAATCTTAAGAAGTGTGACATGAAACAGAAGAAATACAAGTAAAATACAGTCTTCAATTACTTACCATATAATAACCTGGCAAGAGCTTCTGAAGAAACTCAGCCTCTTTGTGTTGAACTGTTTTGATGATGAACTCGTCATCTCTAGTTACAAAAAATAAGGACCCACTGGCACCTGGGTTGGATAATTCAATTAAAGGCTCACTGCAGATTGAGTACTGGAAGAGACAAAAATTGTTTTTCACTGTCAATGCGTGCATTACCCAGACACAAGTCTAAACAAAGAACTGCAGGTTCAAATAGGCACAAGAGAATCAGGAAGCTTATTCTTTGGTCTTCAACTGTAGCAACACTACTACTGTAGAGCAAGCTGGTTCACATAATTTGGCTGACGTTCAAAGGCCAGTTGTAAAAGTCCACTCTGCCCAGGACACACTGCACAACCGTGGAAGAGCAGCTGGCAGCTGAGCATACAGTTCCTCTTCATGTCCCACTGCACCAGGTGAACATTCCCTTGGGGTGAAGCACGTGGTTGAGGTGGAGGGAGTTGATCCCCACACTGCCACTATAGAAAATTCTTGAGTCAGAAACCTTAAGAAGACATTGCACTGCAACTCTTTGCTCTTCACAGTCATTTATGAAGGAGACAGGTACAAGAGATGTTAGACAAACACACCTGGAGTAGAGGTTTCTCACTGTAGACAAATAAGCAAATCCTATTCTGTGAAACTGGGATTGAAACCATTAGGCTAATAATCTTGGTATAGATACTAATGTAGTTTTCTGGTTGAAAACTGCTTGAAACAGAAAAAGCCTCAATACCAGTAAGTAAGAAAAATTGAGGTTTGGAGGAGGATTATTTTGGATATTTAGAAAGGCTTTCTCTTCTACAGGACACATTAAAAATTACAATCACAATAAGGAGGAAAAAAGTATTAATTCAAATTTCATTCAGACTAAATGGAGATGAGACATTAAGCCCAAAATCATAGAAAAATCTGTTTATATTAAACCTAAAAACTTTCATTCACACACCTTGTTTGTTGTTGTTGTTATATATCATCAATTTTACACAGTTGGAGATTTACTGTACGGTCCAATATTTTAAGGGTTCAGTCTTTGCAAGAAACAAAATTACACAGGAAGTGAACTGTGAGTAGTGTAAGCACTAGGGAATTATTCTTAGCAATGCAGTATTTTCTGGTCTTCTCAAAGCAAAAGGAATAACTGTTTCAATAACAAATATCTGGCATATTAGGACATTGCTTGAGATGAGATGAGCAATTCCACAAGAAAAAAAGTTTTGTTTTTTAAAAAAAGCTTTCATTAAATCCATCCTGGAGCTTTGCCATTGACTTCAGTGGCTGGTGACAGCAAAGAAGTAATACAAGAAAATCTAATCAATATGCTCTTTTGTAAGTACTTGACCTAGAGAAGCGTGCTTCCTATGGACTCAAATTGAGTCCACTGCCTTAATGCTGATGCTTTTCCCATGCTTGCAATTTTTAAGAAACTTTTGCATGATATAAAAATGTTTCCTGTTCCTGCTTCTGCAGTCCACTCAGTTCCAATTAATACAAAAGGCCTTTCTTATTAATCCTATAGTTACAATTTTCTACTGGTAGAACAGCCATACCAATCTGTAACACTACAAACCCTTAGAGCAAACCAGCAGTTGTATTGTAACCCTTGCATTTTTCTTGCCAAAATATATAAAGCTTCATGAGTCATTGTCATTGAGGTAAGCATTTAAAACCAATTATCCTAAAACATTAAAGCTCAATAAATAAGCACAAGTTGTTAACCTACGGTCTGTGCAGGTCATTCTACAGTTGTGCTTAGTCCTGTAAAACAGAAATCTACCCATCAAGTGCTGCTATGCAGGGACCAGCTAATTTTGGCTGGACACTTATGAAAGCCAAATCAAAATGGAAAAGTAAGAAAATCCCCAAGACCCTGACAACTGAGTACTTCATGATCAAGACATTTAGATGCAAAATGCCAGTGCTCCACAAAGTTTCCAGTGACAACTTAATTCTACCAGCTGTTCAAATGTATTTACCCTTGTTAACAAGTCTGACTTCTATAGTGCATTACCACTTAACTTCCTTGGAAAGGTGAAATTGTGAATCTTTGGGCTTTTTCACTTCAAATTAATAGTGTAAACTCACATACGCTTGCTGTAATTTCTCTTCATCTTATTTTACTTCCTTTGCCCATTCAGCCACAGTTGGACTATCACTTACCACTTACCACATACCACTTATGTTTTTTGCTGTGCAACTGAGTGTCACAAATTGCTTTTTCACAGCAAGCAGTCTTTCTGTAATATTTAACTTCTGCTACTGCAAAGGCTTCCTTAAATGGAAAAGAAGTTGCAGGTGATAACAGCTTTAATCTAGGAAGCAGAGTCTTTTTAGCAGGTGGCAACACAGCCCGCATACTTCATCTTTTGCTGAGTCCATAAAAAGAGATAGATAAACAACATATTACATAATGACACTTCTGTCACACGACATCCTTGTCTCTAAAGTGGAGAGGCATAGATTTATTTGATGGACAGACCACTCAGTGGGTAAGGAACTGGTTGCACTCAAAGAGTTCTGGTCAATGGCTTGTTGTCCAGTGACAAGTGGCATTCCTCAAGGACTGGTTTTGGGACTGGTGGTGTTTAACATCTTTGTTGGTCACATGGACAAGTGCGCCCTCAGCAAGTTTGCCAACACCACCAAGCTGAGTGGTGTGGCTCACACACTGGAAGGAAGGGATGCCATCCAGAGGAACTGTGACAGCCTTGAGAGTGGGCCTGTGCAAACCTCATGAAGTTCAATGAGGCCAAGTGCAAGGTCCTGCGGTTGGGTTGTTGAAATCCCGATCACAAGCACATGCTGAGAGAAGAATGGATTGAGAGTAATTCTCTTGGCAGTGTACACATGCAGCTCAGAAAGCCAACAGCATCCTGGGCTTCATCAAAAGAACTGTGACAGCAGGTAGAGGGATGTGATTCTTCCCCTCTACTCTGCTGTGGTGAGACCCCACCTGGAGTAGTTTTAGAGCAGACACAAAGAAGAAATTCTTCACTGTGAGTGCGGTGAAGCACTGGAACATGTGGCCTAGAGAAGTTGTGGATGTCCCATCCCTGGAAGTGTTCAAGACCAGGCTGGAGGGGCTTTGATCAGTCTGGTCTAGTGGAAGGTATTCCTGCCCACAGCATGAGGGTTGGAACTTGGTGCTTTTTACGTCCCTCCTAACCCAAGCCATTCTATGATTCTATGATTTATAAAACTCCAACTGTATTTCCTTGCTACTACCATTTATAACTCAAAGGAATTATCTGTTTTTATATAGAACTATGGTCATGAAGACTAGTAATACAAAATCCATACATACTACTAAAGAACTAAAATAGGACATCTATATTCAACCTAAATAAAAGCAAAACCAATTAAGTTCTGCTTTTAGGCTTATTGTCTATAAAAGAAAAAAAAACAAAAATTTTATAATGCACTTGAACACAACAAAAGTAATATATTTAGTAGTATTTTAAGTAATGTTTCAGCACACTTTATTCAATTTTTCTTTTTTATTCATTCAAGCCCTTTCAAAATAATTTGGTTTTACAGAAGCAGTTATCAATAACAGAACAAAAAGATTTAAAAACTCATTCAAAAAAATGAACAATAAAACTCTGACATGTAAAAGTGCTAATTTGTATTGTGATTCATTTGTTGGGTCGTCCACTATGAGACAAATTAAACATGGGGCAAACATCTAGAAAACAAGCTCTTTGCTTTCACACTACCCTTCCAAAAGCAGAACTACAGGAGAAGTAAAATAGTGGATACTTCTCCAGGCAGTGTACAAAGTGGTTCCACCAAGTAAAGCCTGCTTTTACAATGGCAGCAAATGTATCACCTTTTTTCTCATGTAAACCGCTGAATACTGTGAAAGAATAAGTCTTCAAATTATAAAATAGAGAGAAAAAAGGAGATATTATAAATGCTTAATTTTTAGTCTGCCATCCACATTTCTCAAGGCTAGACAGGAACACATGCAGACATCACTTTTGTAATGAAGTTAATAAGTAGCACAGATAACATAAGAGTAATTTCTTAGAATTGATTTAATAGAAGTCCACAAGTGCTGATTGTAACTTCTCTAGAAAAAGTTACCTGAATGATACGGAAGTTATTCTAGTCAATTGATAAAGTAGGTTTTTAATGTAAATTGTCTCAAAGACAAAGAATTTTTCTACATCACTAAAAATATTCACTAGTTGTAAACCCCTTCACATACAAAATTTACTACTTATTTAGGCACACTTTAAGCACCCTTTTCTGTCACTGTGAAGCTAGTATACTTATAATAACTTGTAACTCAAAGGAAAACTGCAAGCTCTTACCAAATAATCATCAGGCTTGATACCAAAAAGTTCTCTGAAATAGCGGAAGGCAAGAGGTGCATACGTCTTAAATCTGAAGTCAGGGTAATGATGAGCAGGGGTAAGATTGCTCCCTTCACTGAAAACAAAAACAAAAATAAACGGAACCAAATTACTGAGCAATTTTTAGCAGATAGTTTTGCAGTAAAACTGCCTAACTCGACCATTTGCCTTCTGCGAAAGGAGTCATAAATGCAGATAAATCTCCCTATTACCATTAGTGTCTGTAACAGACAGACTACCAGCAAATTCCTTTTCCTCACCTTAAAGGAAATTATTTTTACCATCTGTATGCATTTGCATAAAGATCATGTTTAAACTAAAGCTGCAACTTCTGATAAGTCTCTAGGCAAGCCAGTCTAATAGCAGGAAGGGTCACCCTCACCTCACCTTTAAGCTCTTGCAAAAAGTTTGAAAGTCAATGCAATGAAACAGCTTTACACCAGCCTGGTCACTTGAATTGCCTTGCAAGTGATTCAGACTGATACTAAGGATGAAGACTAAGAACCAACACAGAGGGTAGAACTGTGCAGAGAGAGCAGTGGGAAGGAAGCAGGATTATATATGTTTTTTGGTGCTACCAAACAGTGATTGTTTCAGCCTTATGTATGAAATAGCATCCTCAGCATCAGACTTTTTCTTGCTAACGCAGTCCAAATTGGAAAGCAACTCTGGTTTGCTGATCACAGTGTGGTTTTCTGCCTCTTATGTCATGTTTTTTACCCTACCTCAATCTAAACCAGCACGTGTGCTATTTTACATTCTCAGTTGATTAAACAGGAACACAGAGTACACAGCCTTTGGGGGAATTACACAAGATGGTATGTAGTTACATGCAAGATACAGATTTGAACTAGAATAGGCAAAGATTACTAGGGTGACCAGCCTGGAAGAGACTCTTTCTTATAGTGCAAAAAAATAATAATACAATTGTAGCCTAACACAGAATCACAGAGAATCAATTAGGTTGGAAAAGACCTCTGAGATCATCGAGTCCAACCTATAAACAAACACCATCTTGTTAACTGGACCATGGCACTAAGTGCCACATCTGGTCTTTCCTTAAACATCACCAGGGATGATAACTTCACCACCTCTCTGGGAAGCCCATTCCAACATTTGATCACCTGTGAAGAAATTCTTCCTAATGTCCAACAAAACCTCTCCTGGCACAGCTTGAGACTGTCCTCTTTTCCTATCACTAGTTGTCTGGGAGGAGAGGACAACCCCCATGTGGCTACAGCCTCCTTTCAGGGAGTTGTAGAGAATTCAAAAGTCTCTCCTGATTCTCCTTTGCTCCAGACTAAACAATCCCAGCTCCCTCAGTCACTTCTAATGGGACTTGTGCTCCAGACCCTTCACCAGCCTTGTTGTTCTTCTCTGGACCTGCTCCAGAACCTCAAAGTCCTTCCTGAACAGAGGGGCCCAGAACTGGACACAGCCCTCAAAGTGTGGCCTCACCAGAGCTGACTACACGGCAAGAATAACTTCCCAGGTCCTGCTAGCCACACCGGTCCTGATACAGACCAGGATGCCATTGGCCTTCTTGGACACCTAGGCACACTGCTGGCTCATGTTCAGCAGCTGTTGACCAGTACCCCCAGGTCCTTTTCCACTGGGCCACTTCCCAGCCAGTCTGCCCCCAGCCTGTAGTGCTGCATAGGATTGTTGTGGCCTAAGTGTAGGACTCAGCACTTAGTTTTGTTGAACCTCATGCCACTGATCTTGGCTCATTGATCCAGCCTGTCCAGATCCCTCCACAGAGCTTTCCTACCCTCCAGTAGATTGGTGGTGTCATCTGCAAACGTGTTAATGGTAGACTCGATCCCCTTGTTCACCACCACTCTCTGGGCCCATCCATCCATCCAGTTCTTAACCAAGCAGAGAGTACCCCTGTCCAAGCCATGGGCTGCCAGCTTTTTCAGGAGTATGGTATGGGAGACAGTGTCAAAGGCTTTGCTGAAGTCCAGGTAGACCACATCCACAGCCTTCCCCTCATCCACCAGGCGGGTTACCTGGTAAAAGGAGATCAGGTTGGTCATGCAGGACCAGCCTTTCCTAAACCTGTGCTGGCTGGGTCTGATGCCTTGGTTGTTCTGTATGTGCCATGTGATGGCACTCAAGATGATCTATTCCAAAACCTTGCTGAGCACCAAGGGCAGGCTGACAGGCCTGTAGTTTCCCAGATCCTTCTTCTGGTCCTTCTTGTGGGTGGGTGTTACATAGGCCAACCTCCAGTAATCTGGGACATCCCTGGTTAGCCAGGACTGAAGACAGACGATGGAGAATGACTTGCTGAGCTCTTCCACCAGCTCCCTCAGTACCTCAGTACCCTTCTATCCCATCCAGTCCCATAGACTTGTGAGCATCTAAGTGGCTCAGCAGGTCACTAATTACTTTCTCATGGTTTGCAGAGGGTCTGTTCTGCTCCCTGTCCCTGTCTACCACCTCAGGGGGCTGGTTGCCCTGAGGATAATAGGTCTGTGTGCTGGTTTAAAGGTGAACCAGCAGGGGAAATGAATTCAACTCAAAAGAGAGACCACAAGTCAGAATAACAATTTAACAAAACAACACAAGTATGATTGTACAGACAAACAACCGGTTTCAATCCACAAAAACCCAAATGTACAACCCAGCACCCTGGGACATGAACAAAACGGTGTTCCCCGGGCACCCCCTGAGTCCAAAGTAAAGGGAGAGCAGAAAAACCTGCTGGTGGGAGAGCTGTTGCAGTCCGGTCAAAATGGTGATTGCAGTCCAGTCGAGGGTGGTGGTCTCAGTGTGGCCGAGAGCAGTGAGCTGCTGTCCTCCTCTGGATCCCACGAGTGGTAAAAAGGTTCCAAAACTCCAAGTTTATATATTCTCCAGTTCAGGTAGGAATGCTCAGTGCTTCCCTCAGAGCAGGGAATTCCATAAAAGGGTATGAGGACAGGAACATCTACAGGCCTCTACTGCTAACAATTTTCTGGGAAATGGCATGGAAGGCTATAGAATACACAGTTTTGGGTTACACCCATACCATGATGAACTGGTCTCAGCTGTCCTAACTAGGACAGTCTGTCTGTTGAAGACTGAGGTAAAGAATGCATTAAGTATCTCAGCATTTTTCTCGTCTTTGATGACTATATTCCCTGCTGCCACATCCAATAAAGAATGGAGGTTTCCCTTGCCCCTCCTTTTGCTATTGATGTATTTATAAAAACATTTTTTATTATCATTTGCAGAAGTGGACAGATTAAGCTTTTGCCTGTCTAGTTTTCTTTCTGCATTACCTAACAACATCCTTAAACACATCCTGAGTTGCCTGTCTCTTATTCCAAAGATCCTACATCCTCTTTTTTTATCCTGAGTTCTTGTGAAAGCTTTCTGCTCAGCCAGGCCAGTCTTCTTGCCCACCAGCTCGTCTTTCAGCACATAGGGACAGCCTGCTCCTGCACCTTCTTTCTTAAAAAATGTTCAGCCTTCCTGGGTCCCTTTGTTTTTAAGGGTTGCCTCCAAAGGGGCTTTCTGAACCAGCATCCTGAACAGGCCAAAGTCTGCTCTCCAGAAGCCCAAGGTTAATGTTTTGTTGACCTCCTTTTTTACTTTACGGAGTATTGAAAACTATCATTTCACATTTCGCTCTGCCCAAAATGGTTCCAAACACCACATCTCTCACCGGCCCTTCTCTGTTTGTAAACAGAAGGTCTGGTGGGGCACCACCCCTGGCAGGCTCGCTCACCAGCTGTGTTATCTTCCACACACTCCAGGAACCTCCTAGACAGCCTCTGCTCTGTTGAGTTGCCAGCAGACATGCAGCAGGTTAAAGTCTCCCACGGGAATAAGAGTTGATGATCATGAAACATCAGCCAGTCACTTATAGAATAATTCATCCACCCCTTCATCCTGGTTGGGTGGTCTATAATGGACTCCCACCAGGATGTCTGCCCTGTTAGCCTTCCCCCTGTTTCTTACCCACAGGCATTCAACCTTATCATCACTATCCTTGAGCTCTACACAGTCAAAGCACTCCCTAACGTACAGTGCCATCCCACTCCCTCTCCTTCCTCACCTGTCCCTTCTGAAGAGCTTGAAGCCATCCATTGCAACACTCTAGACATGTGAGTCATCCCACCACATTTCCATGATGGTGACTACATCACAGCTTTCCTGCTGCACGATGGCTTCCAGCTCCTCCTGTTTGTCACCCATTCTCCTTAACTCTTTTCCTTGTCTTATATTTACCACCTTACTGTATTTTTAGGCTGCAGTCTTGAGATGAATACTACATTTAAGATAAAGAAAATGAAGCAAAATGCTGCTAGAGAAAAAAACACCCAAACCTGCCTGTGGATTAATTTATGATGGAAACTAAGAGAAGGTTTTTAAGCAGAAAAGTCCTACACCATGACTTCAACACAAATAACAACACCTTTAAAACAAAGTTTGGTCAGTCTCCAAGTGATTTGATAAACAGATAAGTACAAAATCCAAGACTTGACACAGTAGCTGAAATCAGCTTTTCCAGCACTTCTTTACTCATTTACTCTAATTAAATTATTCAGAAATGCAGTATGTACCTTTGCACTTGGCAATAAGAATATCCAAAGTATACTAAACAGAAAGAAAAAAAAGCTACAAATTCACACAGATATGAAAAGTGATAAACTCTAAGAAACATTCCTGAAAAAAGACTAAATTAAATATCATGAAGGAATTTAAGAGCTTTCATCCTGTACAATTAATACTTGTCATATGAACTTGTCACCCTTCATTAATAAGAATTTGATGGCAGGAGCCTACCCAACCCACCTAGCTGCCCTTGCACACATACTGCTACAACCCCACAAAACCCAACTGCTGTAAAGTGACAGCAGATGAACAAGCTTTTTCAGGCTCTAGAAATGTATAGACTTTAAACTCTTGAACAGGAGACAAAAGGAGGGGAAAAAACCCCCAGATTTCCGCCTGGAATTCACATATAAAAAGATAGTTGTGGATGATCAATGATACATTCAAGGACATTACAATACTGCCGCTTTTTGGAGTGTTAAACCATACAGTTAACAGCTAGTGAAGGCTGCCTAGGCCTCATGATTT